GCTAAAATCTTGTTCGAAAAGATTAATACAATCAGAATAATTATACGGAATAATGAATAAAATGATTAGAGTATAATTTAGTTTTTGTAGGAAGTAACAATTCGTATTATTTTTTGCAAAGAAAAGGAGCGTATTGAATTATGATGATCATTTTGATTGTCAAAAGCATTAAAGTATGATTTAAATTAAATTATTTTAATTAAAGCTTGCAATATTACAGGTGAAATTACAGCCACCGCCTTGGACGCGAAGGTGGGAGCTGTTCGATTATAAAGGAATCGAAGATTGCTGGACTGAGCAAACATCGTATTTTAAGAGAAAATTAAGCAAATCAAAGGTTACATCAGTTCTCTTTTCCTGCTGTTTTTACATAATCATTTCTTACTAGCAGATAGCAACTCTGCATTAACATTTGAAATGATCTTGATGAGTTGTTGTCAGAAAAACAAGTCGGCCGAATAAATATTACTTTTCGAACGGGAGAACAATTTGAATATTCTCCCAACGATTTTTTGTGGAAAAAGTTTAACTCAGGTGGGCTTTTTATTTCAGCTCACCGATCTTCGCAAATACGACCTTATCGCGGATTATCGCGAAGTCGCCACCAACGTCGATGAGGAATTGGCAATTGAACAGGAAATGCTAGATTTTGAGACAAAAAAGCTACAAGCTGGTGTAACGAAGAGAAAAATATTGCGCTGTGCTGAGCAGTCATTGTCTCAAGATGTGTAAATCTCCATTCCAAAAACTAGTGATTTGCTTATTAGCATGTTCATTTACTACTTCAGTTAATTGGTGAGGTTTTCTCCCATACTGTAATATTGGGAAAGTACTGCAAGAAAACTGGGCCTGTCTTAGAACTGAGAATATGTGTTGAAACTTTTTCGCTTTGGTTTTTCTGGACTGCGCATGTGAAGCTCGCAGTGTTACTGGGTGTATCCACTTGCCGAGTTTTGCTGTTCATCTTTAGTTCATCTGTTCGCATTTTGTACCTGCCTTTTGTACTTCGACGCGCGCAGATATAACTCACTCTCTTCCGATGCTGTAAATTATGTTATACAAAGGTGGGCGATTTCTTTGGTCGTTGTTTCTGC